CCTTAACAAGAGGAACTATACCAAAGACCCCATCAGGCACAGGGGCAGCTGCAGGGGGAGTGGGAACCAAGACAGCATCAGGCAGCTGTACAAGTTCCCTAATCTTGACAAATAGCGGGTGCTCAGGATTACACTTATCGCATAGGTGCGCACCAGGAATATCTGCACAAGTGATGTGGACACCATCCATTGCTTCAGAGATCTTGACTCGACGACAGCTCTCCTTGTCCATGATCCATTCATTCATTGGAATAATGCCAGATAGATCTTCCTTGAGGCCTTTCGGGTGGATGTGGTGAACAGTGTGATCTATAAACTGAATACTGAAGGCAGGTGAGCCATCACGGCCTGTTCGTCCATCTGCCTGTGTCTTGGGCACTAGTCCAAAGAGAACATTGTCAAAGATGACCGCTTTCACCCTTGGATGATCTATCCCATGGATCATGGTTGTAGTCGCAACAATCCAGGGGAAGGTACCATTATACCAGCCTTGCTCATTCATGAAGCGAGACATCCTGCTGAGGGAGCTTTGATCCCCATGAGACATGCAGTTCTTGAAGAAAGGTGCCAGCAGCTTGACACGCTCAATGGATGGACAGAAGATAATACCTCTACAGGTCTCATCCCAGTAATTGGCCTCTATATGCTGAGCCACTTGGATGATGAGGTTCGCTTGATTACGGATCCGATGGTTGACTTGGAAATAGCTGTAAGACAAGTTGGATCGATAGGTAGCAGCACGGAAAAAGAGGGTAGAGTCGGGAAGGGCTGCAAGCTCCAAATAACGCTTGACGATGTATTGAGGAATTGTGGCACTTAGATGGATCTTCTGTACAGCATATCCAGCCAATCGAGAGAGCCCCATAAAGTTCTCTCGGTATTCAGAGCTTGTGATAAGCTGGTGTGCTTCATCAAACACTATGCGCTTGATGACATGCTCCATCTCCCTGTAAAACCTTGAAAACTTGAGTTATACAACTCTGGAATAGAATCTAAACAACACTCACTGCTTGAACTTCTCTCCAACAGCTGTCTCTAATGCCACATATATAACTGGGCAGTCACAGTAGATTGGATCACTTGAGCGCCACTGTCGACAAGATATTCCCAAGGCCCTAGTCTTCCGTACCATGTCTTCAAGTAACGACCTGTTGGGAATAATCACAATACTCTTGAATGCAGGCTCCACGACAGCAGGAACAAGCCAGGCAACACTTTTACCACCACCCGTTGCAAGGATACCCACAAAGGTGGCTTCATTGGACAGTGCTGCAACAACAATATCCTTCTGTGTCTCTGATCGCCACTTTGCATCAGGACCATAGAGTTGTCGGAGTCCAGAAAGTGCTAGAAAAGCAGGGCCAGGCTGGATGGCAGATGGTGGAGCAAAGGATGACTGAGTCTCGAGACCTAGACCCAGAGATACAGGACTACCAGTGGGAGTGGAATGTGTTGGAAATGGAAAGGGTAATGAGATCAATGGGGAGTGAGGTGAAGGACTTGCATACAGGTCTTCAATGTCCAGTCTCTGTCTCACCGGGTGAGCAGAGTCCACTGTCATGGGCTCTCGCTCTGGCTCCACCATCATAGACTCTGGCTCCATCACCATAGGCCCTGGATTCACTGAAGCAGCAGCAGAACTACCTTGTCGGGCCATATACTCAGCTATACCCCTGCCAACAGCAAGGGTGATATGCTCATCCATGTCTCGCTTGAGGCCAGCGATCTCAGCTTGGAAACTCTGCTGCATTTGTGCCGCACTTGTTGTAAGTCCAGCCCGTAGTTGCTGAATTGCGGCTAGAATATCAGGTCCACCAGAAACATGGTGTGGAGGAACACTTGGAGAGGTAGCAGATACTCCAGGGCCAGGTGTACCAGACTGACCAGCCTGGACTCGTGTTCTTCGACGGATTGTGATGGGAAGCAATGGGGAAGCTCCAGGATAGAACTGCATGAGCTTCCACCAAGCCTCAGAAGCATGCTTGTACCGCAGCAGAGTATCACTAGTCAAAGATCGCAAGCGAGAGACTTCTGGGGCATAGTGCAGTTGGCGCATCTCTACCGAGTGACCTGTTTGAGCTGCCAGAGAGTCTTCATCCTCTCTGTCCAGCTCATACTCTGACCCAAGATACGTCCGAGCTATAGCAACGACAAGTTGGCGATAGGCAAGAATCCCCAGAGGACAGTTAAAGTACTCTGTCGAGTAGTGCTCCAGAGTAGATGAGAAGTTCTCACTTGTCATCTGCCTACCCATCTGAACCCACATGAACTCACGATAGAGTGTATTCACCTTGTCACCCCATAGTTTTCGAGCAAAGTGCTCTTCCACTGGCCGGATGATCAGCAGATACTGCTCCAGGAGTTTCTGGAGCTCTGGGGGCACATAGTTGGGGATGAAAGACTCTTTCCCAGTTTGTGACTCTGTCTTGACCCTGCGTCGCACAAGAATCAAGTCCTGGAAGTCCCTGAACAATCCACGAGGTGAAGTTGAGTTGCGGATCTTCAAATCCACAAACTCTGTCGCACGAGCAGGCTGGCCAGCAAGAACATGGCAGAGAACAGCTAAAGACTTGTTGATTGGACCACAAGCCTCCATTACCTCATTCATCGCTCCAGGATTCCACATCAGTGCACCAGATGGGTCAACAGGGCAGAGGCGGAGTGTCTTGTCCTCTGTCAGGATCTTCCAGAGTATGCCAGGTTCTGTAAAGGCTCCATTGTTCAGCCAGCTATAGTCACGCTCTATATTTGTCATATCATCTGGAACGTGATCAGGGATTTCAAGATGGACCACCTGACCACGGAACAGGGCAGACATCTTCTTTTGTGTATCTTCAAAGAGGCGTCGGACACCACAAGTCAGGTCTCCCAGCTGTAAAAGCTTCCCTTTATATGCAAACCTCGTGGCATCGTCTGAGATGGTGATGCTTGGGGCATTTGTCTCAGAGTAAGCAAGTGAGGAGATGAAGCGCTGGTAGTCAATGAGAGTGGTGAATGGAGTTAGAGTCCCAGGGTGCAGATTATCCAAGCAGTAGTGTGTAACCGATCTATAAAGTATAAGTCATGAGTGATACACAGCAATATAGCCCAACTCACTTGAACAAGTCATTACCAAACTGTGACTGCTGCCTATGTGCCTCATAGAGGGTAGCTCCACGGCAGTGATACTCAAGCATGGCCAATGGCTGAGTCATATCTGATGCTCTCTTGTGAATGCCATCTGGGAGAAGCGAGTAGACAGCTAAGAAACACTCCAGTGCAGAGGACCATTTGTTGTCAGAAGTGGAATCGATGCTGCGGGACAGGAAGGGATAGATGAACTCATGGAAGACTTCCACACCATCATCTGTAGCAGTGTCAAGGCTATCCTGTAAGCGATGGGCCCTCTCCATGTCCTCCGTGCTCAATGGGAAGGTATACCCTGACTTGTGGCTCTGCAGAGAGAGTAACATCCCTTGGGCAAAGGAGCGCAGAGGCACTGAGTACTTGCGCAGTGTTGTATCTGAGTCATGGTACTTCCAGGGTGTTGTGTGAGATGAAGTCCTACCAAATAGTGAGATACTTGATTACACAATGCAATGTCATGACTCACCGAGGACACTCCATCAAAAGGCAGCGAACACCAAGTGGAGACTTCCTTGCAAGGCCACAGATTGTTTTCATGTAATTGAAAACAACATCATTCAAGTGCCCAATCCCCGAGCTGTGGAGTCCTGTAGGCAGCTTTACCAGTTCACACAGAGTGTGGCACTGTGCCACATCCTGAGTCCATGGAGCGACATGTGTATGCCACTGGGTCATCTTGAGCAGTAGAGATATCTCTCGGTCATTGCTGACTGGTGCAATAGCTTGACGATGGACTGTTGGGTACTCTTCTCGCATAAATATGTCGAAAGCAGTATCATCTGAATGCTTGATCCAAGCTGTGTCGACCTGAAAATACCTTTGCGGAATGGGGTGGAACAAGGTCTGGATGCTCCCAGTATACCA